CCCCGAAACTTTTTTTAAATATAACTTTTGATTGAGCGGTGTGCAAACGAAAAATCGAAGTGTGCCAAACTGTGCAAACAATGTGCAAACGATTGACATAAAAAAAGTTTTTTTTTTTAATGTTGGGGGGCCAACTTCACGTGGGTAGCAACAACAAGAAACTTTTTGTTGATGTTCCATGTTTTTTGCAAAAAAAAGTTTCAAAAAGTTTCTTGATGTTTCTTAATGTTTTTGTTGCAACACAAGGTCCAATTGAAGGGATAAAAAAAAGGAGAAATAGAAACAATGTTTTTTGACTGTGGAAATATAGTCGTTCGGTTGTCTTAGTAATAATATAGCTAATGTCTTAAATATGTTGTTCATTAATGAATAAATCGTCACTTCTTAATGTATTTAAGAAATATATGCCGCTTTTTACTTGTATGCATCTCTAAGGCTATCATCTGTTCTCGTTTGTTGTGCTAAAACTTTATTATCAAATATATTACGGAATCAGTAAGACAAGTCTTTTATTCACTTATTACGGAAGGAGTAAGAGCAATAATTATTTTGTTAACTTTTATTTCATATTGTTTTATTACAAAAACCATTACAAAAAAATTAAGAATTAGATACAAGCGAAAGAAGAAGCGCGCACCGTTCCCTAAGCGTCATATAATCACGAGCGCTCATTCGTTAACTTTAACCTACTTTCCTGCAAAAATTACTTGTCGGAAAACGCAATTTTAGTTAAAGAAAAAATTGTTTCTTTTCACATAAAGAATCATGTTTATTCCGAATGCGCAAATTTTTAGACATCTTGCACGTATATACTAAGTAAAATTTAGCTATTATTAAAAAAACAACTACTACTTTTTATTACTTTTCAAAAAATCAGAAAAGAACATTTTTATTCGCGCGATTAGGAAAAACAGTTTTTATTCTACTACGTAATTGTGCAAATCAATATATATATATATATATATGTATATTTCGTATATCATATATACAAAACATGCGATTTCTCGACTTCTAATTAGACTCGTTTGGTATAACAGACCATCATGAAAGTGCTCATATAATTCCATCTTCAAAAAGTTGTTTGGACCGTGTCCAGCATCATTTTCTGTCCGTGTAAAAGAACGAACGAATTTTAAAGTAGATATTCTTCAAAGCAATCAATTCCCTATATTCCTTTTCCCGACTCTGCTTTGTTTCTTTCTACGACGTGGTTTTTTTTTTTTTTTTTATTCCTGCTGCCACTCTCGTTGCTTGCTTTTTTTTCGCTCATAATTATACGTGAGAAAAGTGGCAAGAAGTCGTCACTACAAATCTGCGTGCAATGCGAAATGCTCAGCTACTAGAACGACGACGACAACGGCGACGTCGGCGTCGGTTGTAACTATCGCGCGCAGTCGATCGATGGCCCAGTGCCACTTCGCACCCTCGTTCTTGTCCCTTCCCCGCTCGTCATCTTCCCACCCTAACGGTTCACCCTCGTCTCTAAAACCGCCGGTTTTTCCTATCTCGGCAATGGACAAACGCAATCTCCTTTTCTTGCTTTATCTTGTTCTCTTTAATTTATTTTCTTCTACTTTAGTTTACATTCTATGTACATTCTATCTTCCTTATTTTCTGTTCTTTACGTTTTGTTTGCAAGAAAAAATCTCCGATATATAATGCGTTGCGCATTCTTAATGTCATCTGTCTCTGTCTTTCGCTTCCCTCTTCATATTATTTCTAGTTTTTATTAATATTAGTTTCGAAAATAGTTTTCCTTTTGACTTATCTTTTTGATTTAATAATTCGTCTTTTTTTCGATCTTCTCAGATTTAAAACTCTTACTCAGAAATTTCTTTCTGTTTCTTTAGATTCTTTCACTGTTATTGACTGCTTCAACATTTTTTTCCTCCCTCCTGCTTCCTTAATCTCTCGTATTTTCATTAATTTTTCTTCTTTTTTTCTTCTTTGTATGTACCATTTTCTTAATCCTCGTCTGTCTTCTTTTTTACGTATAACAAACGTATTATACTTGTTATTGTTGTTGATCTAATTAGTGATAGTGGTTTTTAGAGCTGTTTTGAAAACTTAGTAACAGCAACTGTTGGTGTTGCAAAAGGACTGTTTCCCTCTTCTCCGCAACTACCGCTTGGCTACCATGGATCCTCGCAATTCATCCCCTTCTGGCTATGCTAACTAGTCATTACTGATTACTGTGGCGCCCTCTCGCTTCGATATTTTCATAAACCCTCTCATCCCTCTCTTCTTGCTCTCTCTTTCTCCCTTTTATTATATTTTTCTTATATTTTTATCCTTATTTTCTTTCGTCGCTTGCGTTTCTCTCTCTTTCTCTCTTGTTAATTCCGACACTTGTTTATCCTCTCTAGTTCTTTCTCTTTCCGTCTAATTTTCCTACCCCTTACTAACACTGTCTCTTTCTTCCACCCCTTCTCCCTACCACGGTGGAACGGCAGTCGACAGTTGCGGTCGCAGTTTGCACACGCCAGCTTGTGGATCACGAAAGGTCTGTCCGTCCGCCGCTTTCACCCTCGTAGGCGACTCCTCTTCTCGTTCCTTCGAACATCCTCTGATTCCACTCAATCTTTCTCTCACATTTTGCCTCTTCCTTTCTTTCTCTTTCTTTCCTTGCATTCATTCGGTACCTCGCATTAGTTTATCCCAAGCGAGCACAACTATCATCCTTCCATTGAGGAACGCTCAATCTGCCCTCCTAGTAGATACGGCGCGTTACCGATCAGAGAGACCGTACCGTCGTCGCGGCATCAACCGTGTACGTGTTCTTCTTCAATCTGCAGCAAGAGATGGCTTTTTGGCAGACCAGGCAGTTGTGGCCACGCATCGGTTCATAGGAGGTTAGTCCTCATATTTTTATAAGTACGTACAGAATAATGTGTGCTCTCAACGAAAGACCACAGGGCGAGACGTCAAAGTCTGTCGGCAACACAACGACACACCCACGAAACGTGCACTCCCGAACGTGCCTAGGGCAACGGCGACCCTTGCTTCGAAACCATCGTTGCGCGTTTGACGCTGCTAGATCAATAACAGCGCGAGGAAAACTCGTTCAGACGCTTCTCGATCGAGCAGTTTCCATCCATCGTGCGTTTCGCATCGCGAATTTTTACGTCTCTAAAGTGATTCTTAGAAGCGCAACTCTGTTTCGTCATGACGGTTGCAGTGCTCTGTGAAAACGTGTCAAATTTTTTATCTTGTCGTTATGTGTGTAATGTTAAATAATTTTGGGTAATTATTTGACAGTAATGGCAATAATATATTTAGTCGACGATATATCTTCTAATATAATTGATTGCTAGTGGATAAAAGAGTAATAGGTTACTAATTACAGAATAAACTGCCTTTTAATCCATGTTACTTAATCGCAATGTCTAATTGAGAACCTGCAATGATATTATATTTCATATCTAAACTAAATACCTAAAAAGAGAGAGATAATTTTGGTTAATCTAACAACTGATAATTTAACTAATTTGACACCAAACGGAATCAGAGAATGTCATACTTCTGATTCTATTAACCAGCTAATTTCCGTGGTAATTTCGATTCGCTAATAAATTTATGATAGTCCTTAATTTCTTTGAAACTCTAGTGAACCAATTCTTATTTGCTGTACTGAACAAGGAAGTCGGATTCTACGTCGGTGAACAGGGAAGGACGCACGTAGCGACAGTATGTCATAGTAAATCGAGACGGCTATCGATTCTTTACGTGTGCGCCTCATCGACTTGAATGTCGAGGATAAACGGAAACGTTGCAGTGGAATATCGGTATCCGATAGATAGATGTAAAAGGGAGGGGGAGGGGAAGATTTTTATGCGAATTAAACAGAATCGGTTTTTTCTATGATGCGCGTAAATTTTCTTGCAAATTGATAAAACCGACGATAAGATAGTGTGCACTGAAATTTTAAATTAACTTGTGCAAAACTACAAAATGTAATTGATTTCAACACTAAATCAACACTTTAAAGTAATCCAAGTTGCAAATGTATTATTCGTAGGCTGTTCTCTCTCTCTCTCT